AAGGTCATATGGTGGTGGTTGGCGGGTGCTCTGGTGTGGTTTGCTTCTTCTTTCCTCCTATCAAACATCTATCGTCCTTATCTCCCCTTCTTCTTTTTTATGTTCGTTACTCTCATGTAACATCTCCAATCTTCTGGCGCTCATATAACCTTATGCAGTTGCGTGCGCCGTAGAACCTCTACTAAAACTAAAACTAGCTACGGTCATATGGGCTCCAAGGGGTGGATGTTAACAGAGAAGTCCAAACGTGGAATCAGGCTTATTCTGCTCACCTCTCTAGCCCCAACAGATTAGTCAGATTAGAGGTGTTATAAGAGAGTAAAAAAAAACTAAAAAAGAAGGGGAAATAATGACGATAGATGTTAAATAGGAAAGAAGAAGCAGACCACTCCAGAGTTCTCGCCAACCACCCCCGAGAACTTGTCTGGTAAAGCTGGAGAAAAATATGGTTTACGGTTTGATTTCGGAAAAACAGAGTCGATGTTTTCTGGTCAAATAATAGAATATTGTAGTTTTCTTGCACCTCAGACTAGACCAAGCTTTGCTGTCTGTCTGTCTGTCTGTCTGTCTGTCTGTCTGTCTGTCTGTCTGTCTGTCTGTCTGTCTGTCTGTCTGTCTGTCTGTCTTTAAGTGTCTATCTTCTGTCTTTCTCTCCGAGTGTCTGTCTGTCTGTCTGTCTGTCTGTCTGTCTGTGTCTGTCTGTTAGTGCTGGTAGTTTATTTCTTATAAGAAATTCAGACGGCTTCACTAGTGGGTTTTACTTCTGTTCTATCTCCTTATCGATTTATCTATATTTGGTGCGGATTCTGCATCTTCTACTTCTTTTTTTTTTTATAAACCCTACTTGGGCGTTTTTCGGTGTGCTTTCAGGCGATGTAAATTTGGCTATTTCAGTGCCGACTCGTCGATAACTAACATATTATATTCTTCTGTTCAAAGTGAAAAAGAACATTTGTGGGTGGTTGGCGGGTGCTCTGGTGTGATTTGCTTCTTCTTTCCTATGAAACATCAGTTGTCCTTGTCTCCCCTTCTTTTTTATGTTTGTTACTCTCTTGTAACACCTCTAATCTTCTGGCGCTCATATGACCTTATGCAGTTGCGAGCGCCGTAAAACCTCTACTAAAACTAAAAAAGAACATTCCTGTAGTTTGAGGAATGTTTCGCCATTGTCATGTTTTATCTGTGAGCACGTCTTTTATTATGTTTTTTTCTCCATGTTTAGGGAACAAGATAAAGGATGGGATCGTGGATGGTTTGCGGGTGCTCTGGTGTGGTTTGCTCCTTCTTTCCCATCGAACGACTATCGTCCTTATCTCCCCTTCTTCTTTTTTTATGTTTGTTACTCTTTTATAACACCTCTAATCTTCTGGCTCTCATATGACCTTATGCAGTTGCGAGAGCCGTAAAACCTCTACTAAAACTAAAATCTTCGGCACTTATATGACCTTATTGTGTTGCAAGTGTCATAAAAGTCTTATTAAAACTAAAAACAGAACATTTCTGTAGTTTGACAAATGTTTCGCCTTTGTCATGTTTTGTCTGTGAGCACGTCTTTTCTTATTTTTTCTCTTTGTGTTTAGAGAACAAGGTAAAGGATGGGATCGACGGGAGCATGTGCATAAAAATTCATTCAACGCTAGCTTCAAAGTGAAGTGGGGTGGAGATGGGAAAGCTTGCTTACAAAATAGATGCATGGCTATGGCCGTCATCGTACATGAAGTACTGATTTCTCGTAAACTGATGACAATGGAGTGGGTGATTGGCGGGTGCTCTGCGTGTGGTTTGTTTCTTCTTTTCTATCGGACATACGTCCTAATCGCCCCTTCTTCTTTTTTCCTCTTATCTTCTGGCGCTCATATAGCCTTATTTATTATGCAGTTGCGAGCGCCGTAAAACCTCTACTAAAACTAAACGATAAAAACGGATGAGGACTACAGTCACACAAACACTTATTAGCTTGGCACGCACACTCACATGACATAATATGTCCGCCCTTTGTCAGTAAGGTCATTCCATGAAAATTGAGACAAAGCACGGGGATGGGGACTTGCTGAAAAAAAGAAGCTCGAAGCAGTGATAGAGCCATTAAC